GGGACCCTGTAACTATGCTTCTCGCTTCTGTAGCCGCGCCTCTGCCCCTGAAATCCCATAAAAAGTCCCCTTTGCCCTCGGTAGGCGCGCAAGTCTTCTGAGAGACTTGGCCCCAGGTACCTGTGCATTTAATAAAGCCTCTTGCTGTTTGCATCTGATCTGTGGTTTCGGTGTGTTTCCCGGGTCCGGGGTCTCTCCCTGAGGGAAGATCTCCCCTGGGGGTCTTTCACTGAGACTATTTTGTAAGCCACTTTCACAAAGGTAATAGGAAGTTTCTCTTTTAGGAGTGTGAGTACCAAACTCCAGACATTCAACGAAAGGAAAGAGGGCTTAGCGGGCTTTGCAAATCCATATTCCCAGCCGCGGGAGGTCAAGTCCAAAGGCTTGCTAGCTAGGGACGGTCAGGGCTACACAGTGAATTCTAGGCCAACCTGGAGTATACTGGAGTCCCTGTCTCAAAATAAAAGAAAAAAGGGAGAGGAAACGCTGATAGGAAAAACAAATTGTATTCAATGCTTTGAAGAGAACACAGTGGGGTCCTTAAAAAAACAAATGTCTAATTTGTACAAAACCAAATAGCCACAATTATTAATTAGTTAATATAGAACGCAAACTTAAAATATATCGAACAGGAATTGCAAATTGATAGGGTTTTTGTCTGGTAAGCAACATGTATTAAGTATATACCATGTGGGAAGTGTAGACTAGTCACAGAAAAAAAAGAATTTAACCAATTTTATAGTCACACTGGCGGCTGTAGTAACTAGCAATCAGCAATGACCCTAAACTATATATTTGGATTCGTATTAATGGGATGTCGTAAAAAAAAAATAATAAAAATAAAAAAATCAAAGCGTGCCTGGGCACCTGATAACACAATAACCACCATAAAAGCAACACATAAACCTGAAGGAAAGTGACCTTCACCGTTTGTCATCTTTCCATGAGGACGACGACACCGAGGCGCTAAGTAAGACAAGTCCCAAATCGACCTTTACACCAATGGCCTAGAAACAGAAGGAAGAGCTCTATGCCCGCCTCTTGACACCGACAAGGCGTTTTAATAGGCCACCGCCGCTGTCACTCAAAATGTCCTACCGTGCCATTGGTCCTAAACTATTGCTTACCGGGCCGGTGCTGCCCAGCGGCAAGGCTTCCCCCCCCCCGCCCCCCCGCAGTCTTTATTTTATTCCCGAGCAGAAAGTGAAAGTGGACAGGCGCAAGAGGCAAGGCCCTGGAAGTGTCGGGGCCGACGCTCGTACCTGAGCGACCTGCGATCTCCACCGCCGCCGCGACGACCCGGCCTCTGGGCGGGGGCTGTCAGCCGCGAAGGACAGGGCTCAGCCGGGGACGGAGGCCCACGCCATGGAGAGGCCTTTCCGGACCGCACGCGCTCACGCTGGAGAACACGATGGCTCCGAGAGGACCGGAGACAGCCGCAAACTCCGGCGAACTCCCGGCACCTCAGCCTGCAGGAGCCCGAGGAAGGAGCCAGGGCAAGTTTTTTTGACGTTTCCTATTGTTGCCGGAAGTGACGTCCGGGGAGCGGGCCCTTAAAGAATCAGGGTTTTACTCTCGCGCTTGCAGATTCGCCAGAACGTCTCTCTGTCTCGCTGCTCCTCCTGAACGACTCCGGTCGTCAAAATTATGCTCATTTGAGATAGGACATGTGCTGTAAGGCGTGTCGTTGATAAGGTTTTTTTTAATGAGGCTTAAGTCTTCCGAGGAGGCCGCGCGAACGGAGTATGGAATCTGCACCGTGGAACCCCCAGAGTGTGGGGCAGCCCGTGGGCTCGGAACGTTTGGGCGGCGCGCTGGAACCCACGGTTCCGAATACAAACGGTCGGCGCGAGAGGCGCCCCTGGGGCGCGGGCGCTGGGGCTCTAGGGCTGAACACCTGGCTCCCGCCACTTTCTCGAGTTACATATGCTCCCCTCGCCCTTCTGTGTCGGCCCGGTCGCCTCGGGAACCCTTCACTTGGCTTGGCGGCGGCTGGCTGTGCCCTGGCTCGGGCAGAGGTCGCCTGAATGCGGTACTCACCGAGGTCCCTGAGTTGTAGGCGAATGATCACCAGGTCTGCTGTTTCGTCCTTTTAGATCTAGGCCAGGAGGGGAATCCTAGGTGGGACCTGTCTATGGACCCAGCTGGTACGTGCTTGGGGAGGCAACCAAGTGGGAAGAATCTCGTAGCCCGCCTCTTAGAATTGGTTTGTGACTTGGGCGAAGTTCAAGACACGTAGATGTCTGTCTCTTGGGTCTTTTCAGGGAATGATACAGCTAGACTGGCTAGAAGGGTGAAAGTACTTCTTCGGGTTCTCTTTGCTGACATTTCCATGGTGCTTTTTGAAGACTTCTCCACCTACTTTGAGGACTGCAGATTTTTCTCTCTATTTAAAGGAAACTAATCTTAACATATTTATTCTAGATGTACGGCTGCATCATACTGTTTTACAGAATTACTTGCAAGCATTTTTAACAGTTTTGTATGTAGACGCAGCAGTACCACTGAGCTGTTGCTCCCATTCGCCCTAGCTAACTTCCTTTTTAAAAATCCTTCATCAAAACTTTTCTCTTACAACAGCATTTTCCTAGAATCCATTAATGGAGAGATATTGTACATTTAATTTCATTTTGTTTTTTCAAGACAGGGTTTCTCTGTGTAGCTTTGCGCCTTTCCTGGAACTCGCTTGGTAGCCCAGGCTGGCCTCGAACTCAAAGAGATCCGCCTAGCTCTGCCTCCCGAGTGCTGGGATTAAAGGCATGCGCCACCACCGCCCGGCCTTGTACATTTAATTTCTACAGATCTGTATTCCTCTATCTAAAAGTTTGTTTTTTAGGTATATCGATCTGGATCTCAAAATCCTAGCTATCCACCGTGATTATTAAAATCTAGTTACGTCATCCTGAACAAAATGATTTTTTAAACTAGTGACAGCTTATATTTTTAAAGACCTGTAACAACAATGAGAATGAGCTGGATTTAACACAAAAAAAAAATCTTAAACTACTGGGCTGGGGAATCTAGCTCAGGGGTAGCGCCATTGGGTGGTATGCGAAGGCCCTGGGTTCAATTCTCTTTACCCCCCAAACCCATATTGTGCCATTCACACAACCTTTTCCAGAAATTCAATTGGCAAATTTGATTTGTTCCTAACTTTTCAGAAAGCTAGGTAGACGATTGAGACCTTAATGATTGAATCTGTATACTTTATTTAATATCCTTTGATAAATAATATAAAGTGAAAATGCAAATTAATTTTATATTTAAGTAAAGTTTTTTTTCATCTCAGAAACATGTAGAAGGAAGATTGCTTTTTGGCCTTTTGACTAAGATCAAGTGTAAAGTATGTATCGGTACTTGACTGGCATTAGTTAATAATCTTAATTTTAGTGTTTGCCAATTAAAAAACTAGGAGATCCTTTTTTGAAAATTTTTCTATGATCTTTTTTAAATGTCTTTGTTTTTCTTTCCTGTCATATCATTTTTCTCCTTCACCTACAGATCCAAGCTGTTATTGAATCTTACTCTTCTTCAAAATATTTATTCTGCTGGTAATGAAGAGGGAGGATGTGTTCCTGGGGCATTCTTTATTGTCAGAAATCTCATTTCCAGAGGTAGAAATAATGTAAAGATAAATGTGTTCTAGGATATGAGAAAAAGAAAAGATACCACAGAGGATTAGGTAAAATCACATTTCCTGGGAAGATGAGGTATGAATGAATGAAGGAAAGAATTGTCATAAGTCAGATGGGACTGGAACCTAAAACAAGATCAGACCTGAAATCTTAAGTCCCAGCAACAAGGATTTTAGTTACAGTGAGGGTAGTTCCTGCTTCACCTTTTCTAGGCAATAAAGGTTGGTCCGGGAAGTCTGTCTTACCATTTCCATATGTCTGTCTAGCCATGGCCTCTGGAAAGATGTGAAATAAGGCTTACAGTTTTGATCAGTTTTTTGTATAATTTGATTTTAAGATCAATTCCTTTTTTTCTCCCTAAAATCCTCATTGCCTAAATATGTTAGTTTAAATCAATGTAATTTAATGTTTCAAAAATGGTGAGCAAAATGCCAATGTCAGAGTACTTAAGAGTCTCTCCAGTAGTTTGCTCTTCACCATGTATACAGAGCAGACTGGAATGGGAATAGCATTCCTACAGACAGAGACCAGGAGCCCAACTCTAGGAAAGTGGCTATAGAAATGGGTTGTGGCCCAGGCTTAGAATTTGGCAAATTGCCAGGTTTATTTACCCCTCTTTATATATGTGCATACAGAGGAGATACCTGAAGGGGCCGTTTATATGTTGGATAGTTGCTGAAATGTAGACTGTGGGAAAAATCACATCAAGTATATTTCATCTAATACTTGAATTCTTTTTTTTTTTTAATGCCAGATTTCATTTTAAAGGTGCTTCATTCTCAGAGAATTTATTTCTCAAAGTACTTTTATAATTTTCTTGAGCAAGATACTGGTAAACTATGAGTTTGCTTTGTTTTTAAGGCAAGCATCTGGTTGGCAACTACATGAAATCCAAGTCCTGGTGATAATAACCAAAATCTGTGCTAGGTTTGTCTCCAGTTTTTATTGGTTACATAGCCTTCATAAACATTCAGGATAACCACTGATGGAGACTGTTTCAGCTTGATATGTTTTTCCAAGTGGGACCAGCTATGACTTGCATGTAAAGTGGCCTCCATAGGTTCATGTGATCACTTACTCTCCAGCTTGGGGTGCTAATTTGACAGGTTGTAGAATCTTTGATAGGTGCAACCTAGCTAGAGAAGTAAGTGGCCTGGGGTCTGAAGATGCCTTGAGATGGTAGTCTGACCTCACTTCTGTGCTGTGCTGTCCTCTAGTCTGGTATAATAGTAGCCAGCAGCCACCACACACTCCTGCCACCATGGAGCTGCTGCCCGTTACCATGGATTCCATACTATGAGGGTCCACACCCCTTCAAGTACTGAACCAAGGAGAGACTTTTCTACTGAGTGTCCTCTGTTAGGTATTTGATCACAGCATGAAAGTAACTGTGTAAATGGATTATAGTCCATTATCATTCAAGGTAAAATATTTGGGAGAGGGCTAGATGAAATACTATTGAATGAATGTAAATATAAGGCAAACTTATTTTTGTGAGGGAAAATTAGAAGTTTACACTTAGGGTTTAGAGTTGGTGCAGTGCAGTAAGCCAGTAGAGATAGTGTGATGCCAGTGTGCTGGGCCTGGGGGAGGTACATACAGAGTAGAGCGGAACCCAGTGCGTGTATTTAAACAGCACTTTATAATTTTATTTTTAGATGAAAAGTTGTAAAATTATTTGAGAGTTGGCGCTGAATCTAACATTCAATAATGGCAACAGGTGACTTAAAAAGAAGCTTGCGGAAGCTAGAACAAGTGCTTCGTTTGCTAAATTACCCTAATGAGGTGGATTATGTTGGGTAAGCTATAATACATTTGATATTTGAAACTTATTTGTGTGCTTTTTATTTTGCTAAAAGTTTAACATGTATGACATGCTGGGGGTCCTGAATGAAAGTAAAGATTTTGTATGAACCCTGTTACTGGCTGCCAAGCCTGATGACCGTGACTTGAATTCCCAGGACTCATGTTGAAACTAGAGATCCAGCTCCTTCAAATTGTCCTTTGTCCTCCATGTGTACCAAGGACTATGTGCTGATGTGCTAAGAATTAAACTCTGTTCCTCTGGAGTAGCTGCAGGTGCTCTTAACTGCTGAGCCATCAGTCAAATTTGAATAAGAATTTTGAAGCATGGGGGCTGCCATAAGAAATCTCACTAATTGGAATAGTTCCATACTAAAAGAACTCACGGTGTAAATGTATAAAATTTATCTTCTACACATTGAATGCACAAATAAATTTTCAAGAAATGATAACATCTGTGATCAGATTGGCTATACTAAAAACAATACTATTCTGTCGAATGAGAGAATGGCAGATTATATAATTAATGAAATCCATTATACTCCAGTGAGTTTAAAATTATATGGAGACAGTATCTAGACTGTATATACAGTTTAACTCTCAGCACTCATATCAGGTGCCTTAACATCTGTCTGTGCTATGAGCATGTGGCATACATACACAAACATAAAAAAAAATCTTTTTAAAACTTTGGGGTGGTGATGGGGAGGTTTATACACATATTTTGAATTATGTGGAAAGCATTCTGTTTATATGTAAGTACAGTATAACTTTAGTTAACCAATAGTGCTAGCTAGCTGAAGAAATAATTCATTTGCTGTTTTGTGCAAGAATCACTAAGGCATTTTTACACCAGTAAGTAAGTAGACAATTAGAAACAGACAGCATGAAGGAGCAGATACTGAAAGATCAGTGTGGATCTTCAGGATGGCTTCATGAAATCAGCATTTAACTACTGAGTTATAATGAATAAAGACAGGCAAAGTGTAGGATGCCTGCCTAGACATGAGCACAAGCTAAGAAGGTCCAGTTCTCATGAAAGCAGAAGGTGGTTGTCGAATCACAGCATGAGCTCTTTCCAGTGTGTTCCTCATTTGTAGCTTAGAGTTCAAACAATTCATCTTTGCAGGCTTGTGTAGGAACAAATGAGTTATTGTAACAAATGTTACAAATACATCAAATATTCTTGAGAACTGTAGGGTAGTACTTTTTTATTAATAGGAGAAATAAATGGATTAAGTAAGAATAAGCTTCAGGAAACCAACAAAATCTGTAGGAGATAGACTGTACAGCTGCAGTGAGGTTTTGAGCACATGAAAATGAACAGTACTGTTTCATAGTCGATCAGGGTGCTTTAGAGTGGGATATAGAATCTGGAGAGTCATAAACTGCTCCATTATTGTGTCTGTAATAACTAAGTTATTGACAGCATTGCTAATTACCCTTAATCACCCAGCTTCTGGCACTGTGCTAATGAAGTCTTTTCCCTTTTTCCTGGCAGTTTGATGAAGGGGGACACAGCAGCATCTTTGCCTATCATTAGCTATTCTCTTACCTCATACTCCCCTTATATATCAGAACTTCTGATGGAGTCCAACGTAGACCTCATCTCAAAGAATGATGTGCGCTTCACAGATACCGTCTATAAGGTATTTTGAGTTTATGAAATAATTATTACTTCAGGAACTATTGATTTTTAAATTTGATACTTTAGTAATAATTATCAAAACACAGTTGCATGTTCACTTAACAATGGTATACATCCTGAGAAATGTATTGATAGGCACTTTTGCCATTGGGCAAACATCAGAGTGTGCTTGCACAGACCTAGATGTCCATATACATAGCCTATTGCTCCTGGCTACAAACTTGTAGCATGTTTAACTTTTGTGTGTCTAAACATGCAAGTAATATAGTTAAAATACTAGTCAATAAGAAAAAAAGTCAGCTTTATCATAATCTAGGGCCACTATCATGTCTTGTCATATGTCACATGTATGTTTAGTTGACAGAGTATTTTCATAGGTGTTTATCTCATTAAAATGGAGTCTACAGCTGACCTGAGCTTATGGGAGCTCATGGACTCTGGGCCAACATCTAGGGAGCCTGCACAGTACCGACCTAGGCCTCTGCATGTGGGTGACAGTTGTGCGGCCTGTTAGTGGGGCTCCTAGCAGTAGGATCAGGACCCGTCCCTGGCACTTGAGCTGCCTTCTGGGAACCTAGTCCCCATGCTGGGTTGCCTCGTCCAACCTTGATTTGGGGAGTGTGTATGGGGGGAGGTGTTTCTTGGTCCTGCCTCACCTTGATGTGCCCTGCTTTGTTGATGGCCATGAGAGACCTGCCCCTTTCCTGAACGGGAGACAGAGGAGGAGTGGAGGGGAGGGGGATTGAGGGATTGATGAGAGGTGGGGGAAGGGAGTGGGAAAAGAAGAGGGAGGGAAAACTGTGGTTGGTATGTAAAGTAAATGAAAAAATTTAATTAATAAAAAATGGGTTCTCTATTGAAATTAAGTTGTAATTCATGTTTGCTTTATCAATGTTTCCTATTAATTATGGCAGCTGGTAAACGTTTGTCACTGGCTTTAAATTGCCTGCTTCCTATGAAATTGTAGTAAGATTGTGTGCTGGAGGAAGCGAGAGAGAACTGAGTCCCCAGGCTTCTGTGTTCCTCGACTTGTGAGATCCACACTGAAACTTGCATGGTGTGTTCCTTGAGGTCTGACACCAGGTCTCGTCTCTGCAGTAGCATTTAGACACCTGGATGGAGACTGACTTTGATGTTGATTTTTAAACCTTAACGTTTACCATTAACTTTTGGTCAAGTACTGTGAATGTGTGTGTGTGTATGTTTGTTTTGTTTTCTTTTTTTCGAGACAGGGTCTCACTAATTAGCTGTGGCTTTCCTGATGTGCTCTCTCTTCCTCTCCCCCCCACCTCCCTCTCCCCTCTCTCCATTTTTCTCCCCTTCTTCCCTCCTGCCCCCGCCTCTGACATATCCCTAGCAACCTGTATCTCATACCTGGGCATAACTCAACACCAGCTCTATAATTTTAGCACCTTTACTTAGTGGCTTGATCTTCCTCTCAAAGGTAATTATTAACTTCTGACTAGCTGGTCATATAATTTTGAATTAAACCAATATTACCTTTGTTTCTTCACAGCTTCTTCGTGATCAATTTGATTATAAACCAATTTTGACAAAAAAGCAATTTATACAGTCCGGATTTGCTGAATGGAAAATCCAAATTGTGTGTGATATATTGAATTGTGTGATGAAAAAGCACAAGGAATTGACTGGCTCTGACAAGGTGAATTTATGAATGAATTTCAGTGCTAACTTATGCTAACTACCCCAATATTTGAATAAACATCAAGTTGTCACCCGACTTGCTGGACCCAGAAGTTCTTTGTCTCATTCTTAGACTGATGATTAGGGAAAGGATTCCAAGACAGACATAGAGGAGGCTTGAGCATAGTAACAGATTGCTCAAGCAAAAGCAATAGTGTCTTCAGGGAGAGGAGTGGGCAGCTGAGCGTGGTAGGTGAATACGCCAGACTCAGGCATCAGAGCATTTTAGGAACTGAAGGGAATTCTTGTGTTAATGCTATTTGCATAATTGTGGGATTTTCTAGGAATTCCAAGGGCATTTCTAGGAACTAGGGTTAGTTTGGACCAAACGTGTTGTTTAGAACCAAAATGGAATTGGAAGGGATGTGAATGTGTAAAATTACAGAGATGCTGAGGAGTCTGCCCACCAAACTTCTAGGTCTCAAAATTTCCTCTGCAGGACATATATATTTCACAGCTAGCTTCTTGGAGAGTACAGATTGCTGCAATACCAGGATGTCTTACCATCTGTACCTAGATAAGGCCATAAGCACCTAGTTAGTTCTAAATCCCACTGTTCGTACAGCCCACATATTCAACACCATAGCAATTATCCACATACAGGGCATTATCCACATACAGGGCATAGCCCTCTCAAGGATCATCATTTCTCTGATGTGAGTCACATGTCTTAAGCATCTGTGACTTGGAACTAAATTAGCAGTTCAAAGATAGTGTATTTTTGTCACTTTTTTTATTTTGGTGTTTTGAGACAGGGTTTCTCTGTGTAGTTTTGGTGTCCTGGATCTCACTCTATAGACCAGGCTGGCCTCGAACTCACAGATCCACCTGCCTCTGCCTCCCGAGTGCTGGGATTAAAGGTGTGTGCCACCACTACCCGGCTTTTGTCATTTTTTAAAGTTTTTGTTTGTTTATTTGTTTGTTTGTTTTTACCTATGCAGCCCTGGCTGTCCTCAGTCCTCCTTCCTCATACTTTAAGTGTGGAACTCCAGCACCACCATATCAGTTTCACTTAAATTTACAGTAAACAAATAAACACATGGTTCATTACTTTCACTATTTGCTGTCATCAAAAATAAGTATTGAAATAATGGAATTGAAGTGTATATCATAGTTTTTATAAAATGCATTATTTTGTCTAATACTTTTCCTTTCTTAGACTTCGTCATGCCAGAGAAAGAAAAGCATCCCGGAAAGGCCCGAACCTTGTTCAAGCAGTGAGAACGCGCCTGGAGAGGCTGTGGGCATTGACATCACTGGCCGGTTTATGACTTCAGGAAAGGTGTGAGAATAGAAGGGACCAGAAGCGTATTTGAATGCATAAAGATTCGTTTCTCTGACGGGCGTTTGGTGAAACATTGTAGTCAGAAACCACAGTGTACAAGGCATTTTTATTAGAACGTGTTAGTTTATTTCATTTCTTTCTAGAAGTACTTTGATCATATCCACCCCCCCTCTGCCCTTGCTACCCTCAAATAGTCTCAGCAGAGGAGTGCAAAGATGAAAAGTCACACAGACTCTGTATTTCTAATTTTGAATTCTTTTTCATTTCCCAGATAAAATTTAGTGCAAGGCATTGAACTCTACTCTTTAAAATATATGAGTGTGTGTGTATTTGTTTGTTTGAATCTTATGTGTATGTGTACCAGAAAGGAACAGAAGAGAGTGTCATATCTCTTGGAACTGGAGTCATGGGTGGTTGTGAGCCTCCATGTGGGTGCTGGAAATCAAACCTGTGTCTTAAGGGTTTTTTGTTTGTTTGTTTGTTTTTGAGACAGGATTTCTCTGTATAGCCTGTCCTGGAACTTGCTCTGTAGACCAGGCTGGCTTTGAACTCACAGAGATCCGCCTGCCCCTGCCTCCCAAGTGCTGGGATATCTTAAGGGTTCTTAACCTGAGCCATCTTTCCAGCCCCTCAACCTGTACCTTTAATTATGCACCTGATCATCCCTAAAAAGGGGTGTGTATATAATAATAATCCATTATTATTATATCCAACAAGAGTGGTTATGATGATTCATTTATATGCATTAATAACCAAGAATATAGATTATCTAATAATCTGGTTTTGAGGATTCTTTATTACTAGGTATAGATTGTCTCTGCCTTTGTCTGCTTTAAGCACCTGTGGCTAAATGAATCCAGTACATGTAGAGACAGCATTTTCCATATCCAAGGGGAGCTCTAAGCCAAAATGCCATTTTAATAATAAATGTGATTCCAGCTGTTTTTCTTCTGGGTGAGAGGACAGAATAATCAATGTGTAATTAGATAAAGATGTAAACTTTTTTCTGGATAAAGTAAAATATGTAGAATTGTTTATTCTCTAATCCAAAATACATGACCAGAAGAGCTGTAATACCAAGAATATTACATTCATTACAATAAGAATATTGAATACCTGCTACAAAGCTGATAGAACTTATAAATATATTTCTTTGCTGAAAGAGAAGTTGAGTTAGTACTGAAGCAAATTGTCTTCTTCCTGATGCCTTATCTCATATAGATGTAGTTTATGATTTCTTCATCACATCTTAGGGTTTTTCAGTGTTTATACAGGTTTACTGTGAGGTCCTTGTTAGTATTCCTCCTTTTCGGTATTTTGAGCTTTTAGCTGAAGATGAAATATATATTGTGATTTGTTCAATAGAAAAAATTATAATGTGTCCTCACACAGCTAGTTGTTGATTATTTAACTTGTAAATTGTGCCATAACCTTCATTTGTTTATTTGTTTATTCATTGGCAGACTCACTAAATAGTTCAGGCTGGTCTGGACCTTATAATCCTGCCTGGGCTTCCTGAGCTGGGATTATGGTTGTGTGCTACCATACCTAATATGTTTTTAATTAATTAATTTATTTATTTGTTTATTTCCTTCCTTCCTTCCTTCCTTCCTTCCTTCCTTCCTTCCTTCCTTCCTTCCTTCCTTCCTTCCTTCCCTTCTTTCTTGTTTTTAACTTTCTAGCATGTAACATTTCAAACATTTACCAAAGCACAGGTCATCCTGTTTCAACACGTAATCAAATCTTTGTTACTCTTCTTTCATCTTTACTGTAGCCACTTTTTCCAGCATATTGAAACAAACCTAGATACCTTTAAAATACATTTCAGTGTTTAACCTAAGACATAAGAATGCTTTTAAAAAACTGAATCACAATTTTACCAACACATATAAAATATGTTAATATTTGCACGTTATGTTGTGATACATTGTATGTGGTAATTTAAATGTTTTTAAATATTTATACAGTCTGTCTAGAGAATTACTGTGAGTATATGTAAAGTAACTGGCAGGAAAGCCTTTGACGTATTTCTTCATGCTTGTCTCCGTGCAGAAGAAAGCTGTGGTGATCCGTCATCTGTACACAGAAGATGACATTGACCTTCCCGAACGGACAGTGAGTTCCACAGAAGGGAGTGAAGGGTGTGATGAGTCAGAAGAGACGACTTCTCAAGTCACGATTCATGACGGGCAGGCCTCTGAAGTCAAGGCTCAGCTGAAAGTAAGGACTGAGGACCCTTGGACAGATTTCTCTGCTATCTGTGATTATTTCAGTGTTTGAAAGTTGTAATATTCCTGAACTCCTAAATTATGATATCTATACTATTGCTTAAAAGTCAGTCAATCTTACTAAATGTGCTTCAGTGGATTCCAGTTGTCGGATCTGTTTGGAGTTTTCCCCCTGAGTTAGAAGTAAAGCAAAGAGAAACAAGAGATGGTATGTCCCGGGGAAATTATAATCTAGCAAAAGAGATGTGCCACTTTACACAGTGGGGTTTTCTACCACTGTTTCCTCTGTTGGTAAATAGAAAAGCTTGGCATTTTATTCCCGTTTTCTCTTTAGTTAGTCTTTGCTATGTTTCCCCCAAGGAGTATGGTCTCACTATGTAGCCTCGGCTGACTTTATGTAGTCCAAGGTGGCTTTGAATTTGCAATAAACCTGCCTAGCCTTTTGCGTGGTAGCATTATAGATGTGTGCTACCCACCTGACTCCTTGATGTCCTGTCATTTCTATTACTCCTTGTTAACACAAATACCATTTTGTATATAATCTCTACTGTGTCTGCTAACACGCTCATATCTTGTGATTTTTATACATTTGGGTTATAGTTGGATTTATGAAGTTTTATCTGTGGGCCTGCTTTTTTCTATATGACACTCTAGATAGTCAGCACATTGTCATTTGCTTATTTCCTCTTGGATTTGTAGTAGGCACTGTCGAAAGAAACTAACTACTGATAGTTGTATTGTGCTGCCTGGTCTAGGCACCATGCAGGTTACTCCACAGGCAGCTGCTGTGAAGAGGACAGCCTCGTGGTAAGGCCGGCTGCTGTCTGCGGGGAGCCCCGTGTTCCACACTGTGCTCCTTCCTTAGCTATCAGAACAGCACAAGGAAATGGGAGCCCCTGATTCCTTTTCAAAGGATGCCACGCCTATCACCTGTGATCTTGGTTATCATTTTAGGATCTTTGTGACAACCCTGAGCTCACTGCACTTCACATAGCTCTTGCTGAATGTCAAGACAAGCTTAAGAGGCTGACTTGTGTAGAGAAAAGACTCCAGTATTTGGAAGCTGCAACAAAAGGGAAGGTCATGGTCGATGAGAAGGCCTGGAATAATCTCCTAAGTCGAGTCACTCTTCTTGAAACAGAGATGCTTTTGTCTAAAAAGGTATTAATTACTATGTAGCGCCACTTGCCTCAAGTTCAGTAAAATGCCCATCTTAGTGACTGTTGTCTGTTCTTTTGGAAACACTACACATGAGGCTCCTTAGAAACTAGGAAATGTTTGGTTAGAATAAAGTCTGCTTAAGTTAACAAGTTCCTTAAACTTCTTGTGGCTGTTTTTTTGTTTTTGTTTTTTTGTTTTTTTAATCAAATAAGATAATTTGTAAAACCCATAAGTTGAAGTTTTCTGATTAATAGTACTTCAGATACTTAGATTGAGGTAAGAATTTTTTGAAAAACTTTAAATTTTTTTAATGTATTTTAGTAGGAAAAAGGTTTCTTCAGTTTACTGGAAAAGTTGTAGAAGAGTTAAAATTGAAACTTTCTTTTTTATGCATTAACTTCAATCATAAAGTGAATTTCATAGAAACAGTTATTAAATTTTCTGTCTTAGTCACTGTTCCATTGCTGTGAAGAGGCACGGTGGCCAAGCATCTCTTACAAAGGAAAGCATTTAATTAGGGGCTTGCTTACAGTTTCAGAGTTCATTATCATCGCTGCAGGAAGCATGGCAGGCACCGGAGCAGTAGCTGAGAGCTACATCCTGATCCACAGGCCTAGAGATGGGGAGAGAGAGAGACTGGTCCTGACATGGGCTTTGAAAACCTCAGAGCTCACCCCCAGTGACATGCTTCCTCCAGCATGGCCACACCTACTTCAACAGGACCATACCTCCTAATCCTTCCCAAATAGTGCTACTCCTTGGTGACTAAGCATTTAAATACATGAGTTTATGGGGGCTTTTCTTCTTCAGACCACCACATTTACCACTGCCTTATGTAGTCTGAGAAATCTGTTTTGTTTCTTAGGGTTTCAGTTTCTAATCTGTCTTTCATTTTTAGAGACTGCGGTTGTAGATTCAAGAAGCCTACTCTCTGCTTCCGCACTTAAATGGTTGTTTCTTATGCATAAGAATAATTATATATTATCAGTAAATAAATTTATTAAAACTAAACATTCCCTGTGCTTTGCTTATATTTTATGTTAAGCAGTGTAAAATGAATTATCTATCATTTTTTTCTAAATATTTACCTGTACGTTCCAGAATGAATGTGTAGAGCTTAATGCAGCAAGTGAAGACAATGACTCTGATAGTGTCGTGGGTGCTGTGTCCATTGGTAAGCTCTTCAGTTGTATTAGTACATTTTTAGAACAGTAGGTTTCAGTTGTATTAGTACATTTTCAGAACAGTAGGTTTTATGGGCATTTGGCCTCTTTAGCATTCTCGTGTGTGTGTGTGTGTGTGTGTGTGTGTGTGTGTGTGTGTGTGTGTGTGTGTGTGTGTGTGTGTGTAAGCCAAAGGTCCATGTCAGGCTTCTTACTCAGTCACTCTCCACATTATTCTTAGAGATAAAGTCTCTCACTGAACCTGGAGCTCACCAACTTGGCTATTCTTGCTACCTGGCAAACTCCCAGGATCCACCTGTCTCTAGCACTCTATTGGTGGCATTGTAGGTACAAACCACTACATCTGATATTTTTTTTTTTTAACATGGTTCTGGAAATTAAATTTAGTGAGCACTTGACTGGAGCCATGTCCCCATTTTTTATTAAACATTTTTCTTAAAATAAAATTACAGAGCTCTTAGGACAAAGAAAATAGTGACCCACAGACTGCCAAGAATTGCTTATAAAACCAGAGTATATATTGTTCAGAACACAGCTTACATTCTTTTTGGGATTTTTCACTCTTTAATCATTCTAGAATAATACAATACAGTTAAAGAAGGAAAGTGGAGCTCTAAAATCTCTAATTGTAAGCCTAAGTAGTAACGTTCTTGTGCAGAAATGAGATACATGACATAAAAAGTATACTTCTCAGAAATCTGTAAAGTGCTTTATCTGAACTGCTTACTGACAGTAATCAAATGAGAAGGTTGTAGAACAGGAGTGGCTTTTCCATGTCACAGCCTCCTAGTGATGTTTCCCATGTTACTGAGCATGAGAAATCTCTGGTTTCAACAAGAGCTTTTATTTTTTTGAGTCTTATAATTTAGAAAAAGCAAAGGCCTACATCTTATCTCATATTATGATTAAATTATGTTTGTAAAAAATGATGACTTCTACAATTGACAATTTATTATTAGATTAAGTTTCAGTAATATAGATATTTAACATCATTAGATCTTTCTCGCTACTATATACATTTGATTACAAGCATACACCACAAATACTAAATGTATTTTGAAATTTTTATTAGAGAATTTTTAGCATTTGTCTCCATATGTATAAAAAGTATTAAAAACTCATTTTACCTATGCCAATGACCATTTTAGATTAATTATCTATAAATTAAATTTTAAATATTTGACTCTACTGTGTAATGGAAAGATACCTAAAATGTAATTTCTTCACAGATAAAAAATACAGTGTGGGGGCACCAGCCAGAACATATCGGTCATCTGGCTACAGTACACTGTCACCAGAGTCAACGCCCAGAGCCTCCACTGTTAACTATTGTGGCTTGAAAGATTTTTCAGAGGTAAGAGAAGCTGTCAGCTGCTTAATGACTTATAAGGTAGAGAAGAAACAAGTATCATTTTTAGTATATGCTATGTAATATATACTATTGGCAAGGATAATGTTAAATGATAAATTTAATCTCTCCAGGGTCCTTTTTGTTGACTAGAGTCTCCTTATGCAGTGTTTCAGAGTGTGGTTTATATATTCATGGTCCATCTTTGCGGATTATTTACTTTGAGAAATTGCCTAAATTTGTTGCTTTTTAAATTAAAGGAAACAACACTTCAGAAAATGGAAAGGATGAAAAAAATGTAAGTAACAGAAAGGGGCAACAGAAATCATTTCTCTGTAGGGAATTGTGCTGAAATGCAGTATATATAGGATGGACATATGTGTTTCAGACCTTGAAAGTCTCAATCAGGTGTGGAATTTCTTTCAAGACTCCAGTGGATAATAATTCTATTTCCAGGTGTGTGTGTGTGTGTGTGTGTGTGTGTGTGTGTGTGATGAGACACTGTTCTGGTTTCCAGCAAATAGTGTGAAACATTGTTCACAGAATTAATGATGGGTTACAAAGGGCAGAGATGCTTTGGTTGATAATTAATTCTGATTTCTCTACGTCTAATAATTGATTTACCAAAACATTATGTGCATGTAGATGGATAGTTGGGAGATGAGTTTTCAATATTATGTTAGGCTTGCTTGTGTTTCCAGTGTGGTGCAGTACCACCAACGATGATGGTCTTACTGGGGACTATGAACGTTACATGTAGTTTTAGCAAAGAGTGGTTTAAAGGAAATATATGATGGTATTTTAGCAAAGAGTGGTATTTAAAGGAAATGGTATCAGAATAATATACACCTTAGTACCTTAAGAAAGTATAAAGCTCTTTGACATTTGAAAAATTCTAAAATAACTTATGCTACAAGAATTGGCTTATTTATGTTTGCTCTCTTCTGTCTGTCTGTATTAATAGTAATTCTGCCTAAATAAGAAAACCACTCATGTCTGTCTGGGGTCAGAAGCATGTGTGCAACGCTTCAGTCCTGAGCTTCACCGTGAGCTGTGCATTAGCTGATGTTTCAATTTGTTCTGTTTCAGGTTTGAAGAGACTGCAGAGCTACTGAAATGCTCAAGTCACTAACTGTACAGTTTTTCTGCGTGAGCATCTCTAGGACTTTGCTACTTATAATGCTATATTTAAGAATTCCTTGTACACTTTTAATATACTGTAATATATTATTAAGAATTTGAATTCTGTTTGGTGTGTGTTTTTCATTGCTAAATAAATATTTTTAATATTGTAGGTTGTAATTGTACTGATTTTCTGTTTCCGTTTTTCTTGGTAAAACTTTCAGTTTCAGTATATGCTGTTACAGAGTGAAGAGGTTGCAGCAAGCTCTGTATTTTGGGTGGACATTTACTGCATTGTACTGAGTAATATGCTTTTGAAAGTATGGGCTGGAGGACCAACGTCTATATCCTACTGGAGACATTCCAACTAGGACTTGCATATGGTACCCAGGAGACTCCCATATGTATAGTCCCACAGTCTGTGCTGGTGAATAAATTGTAATGTGAAGTTAAAATTCTCACTGAGAACTAAACAAATAGCAGCATCTTCTTTATTAACACGCAATGCTGAGAGCATTGGTTCTTTAGTGCGTTCCCTGTGGGAAGTGTGCTGAGTACTTAAGACCGTCAGCACAGACATAAATGGTGGCCATTCCATGTGATATACAGTGAAGGAGGTTTTCATTATCTCATAATGGAAGTTAGCAACTTTTAAAGAGAGAAAAAGTCTTTTTTTTTTTTTTTTTGTTATTTGAGACAGGGTTTCTCTGTGTAGTTTTGCGCCTTTCCTGGAGCTCACTTGGTAGCCCAGGCTGGCCTCGAACTCACTGCCTCCCAAGTGCTGGGATTAAAGGCGTGCGCCACCACCGCCCGGCTGAGAAAAAGTCTTAAAGTTAAATTGAAAGAAAGTTAAAATCACTCAGAAAGTTACTATGTAAATATCTTTCTAACTTTATAAGTGAAAATGTAGTGGTAATAATCTGGGTGGTAGTCAAAATCATAGAAAGATGTCTTTCTCTTTTATATTTTCTGTTAGTCACCTCATTATACTATACAATTTGACTTTACTGTTAAGTAAAATATTAATTTAATTTATAAATAGAAATAACTTCAGAAGGCAGTTTTTAGTATTCTTGTAAATGTTTAGCGTTTTCACTTTAAAACTATAATCTTTTATGTTAGTATATAGAAGTATATAACCCTGAGTTTAGTAGTATTTCAGAAGAATTTCTAGAATTAATGAATCCTGTTAACTTTATTTCTTTTGATTGCAAGTACACTTAGAAAAATCAAGAGAATACAGTTTGTAAATGCTGTTACACCCCAAGAGAGCACCAGCATGGACTCACAGCACCACCTCCTGGTTGTCACACCACTCTACCTTTGTAAAATTCAATCCTAATTTTTCCTTTTCTTTTTTTTTTTTTTTTTTTTTTTAGATAGAGTTCTGGAACTCACTCTGTAGAACAGACTGGCCTTGAACTCACAGAGATATGCCTGCCTCTGCCTCTTGACTGGTGGGATTAAAGGCATGTGCCACCAAGCATGGCTATGGGCTATATTTCTAATCTAATTTATGTATAATGTATCAAATAACAGATATTTAAAATTAAAATTTTATATTAGAAACTAGAAATCTAGATTCATAAATTTTTTAGACTTTTTTTCTAATAACTTTAATAAAAATGAACTTACAGTAGTGATGTATTTTTGTATTTACCAAGAGACTTATTTTGAAAACAACTTCTAGAAAACTAAAGTATGGCTCATTGAAATTATTGAAGATATTGTCAAATTATTCTCATTTAGAAAATGCTTTCTCAGTCTAGAGAGATGGCTCAGAAGTTAAGAGCACTGGCTGCTCTTCCAGAGGAACTGAGTTCAGTTCCCAGCACCCACATGGCAGCTCACAGCTGTCTGTAATTCCAGTTCCAGGGGATCTGACATTCTCTTACAGACATACATGCAAGCAAAACACTAATGCACATAAATTAAAAAAATAAATAAATCATTAGGAAAATGCTTTCTCTCAGGGCATTTGATCATGGTTTTCAATAACTAAACATCCCCTTTGGTTACACTGAAGGTCTTGAGGAAAGTGTATCTTCGTCATGTGCCCTCAGCTAACTGATTCTCATAGAATCTATCCCTTCAAATTATTGTGTTGCCAGTGAAACTTTCGGTAGCTTGTTCTGCCCTGTGAGCAGCTGTGCATTTACCCTTAAACTGAGAAGCCAGGAAACAGCAGTGTATGGGTCTGTATGAGAGCGGGCAGGAATACTGTAAAGAATGTGGACGGTTAGTACTAGTCAGGGTTGGAGAGTAACTGCGATTACAGAACATTCTAGGCGAAGGCAAGGACTGCTGCCCTGGAGAAGGCAGTATTGGTGAAATTATTTTGGCCACTCCACGTAGTTAAAAGGATATTTATTTAATGGCGTAACTCACAAATTAAGTAATGGGTAGGTCGCAGGGTCTGGGGAAGGTGTATTGCAATCCAGCGGTGTTCTCCGGAGCTCTGCACAGTCCTGGGGAAGGTGTATTGCAATCCAGCGGTGTTCTCCGGAGCTCTGCACAGTCCACCTTCACCGTTCAGCGTCCCGGCACCGAGAGAGAGCACAGAGAGAGCGCTGGCCCATTCAGCTCTCGGGTCCCCGGGCGCCTCCCCTCGCCCCGCCTCGTAGGCGTGACAGTTGCCAGAGTCTCAATGAGGGTTGGAACTTCCAGATCCAAGCTGGAATGGCTACCCACTACAAGGCAGCTCTGTCCTGGTGTTTTAATAGGAACTTACAACAGGGAATACATTCTGTATAAAACTTAAACTCTCTATCCATAGCTTTCTGTAATTGATCAGCACCTGGGGAGGCATTAAAGACTAAAAGGGCATAGTCAGTTTTACACACAGCAATACTTCTTTTAGCTCAACCAGTATGTACAGCTTTGATTTCTACCTTTTAATAATCCCCGGTCATCTTTCGTTTTCTCTGAGACTTAATAATGCAGACTGAGGACGATGGAGGAGGTAGTGTGAAACTTTAAACTGCAAAATTAGAGCTTAATCGTCATGTCACTTGAGCGTTTCTGCTGAAAATGACAGGTTCTCATTAGCAACAAATGGCTAGAAACAGCACAGGGCGACAGCAGCAGCCATGTTGAGAGCATTCGAGCTGATTTTTCTAGGGAACATGGAAAATCTATACCTCTTGTCATGATTTTCAGGAATGCTTGTAGGAATAAGGGCTACACATGTCATTTTTTCTTCCCTAAACCACTAAAGTGAAATTTCTCTTTCCTCTTGTTGGCAGTACTTGGGTTTGAAGCCAGCTCCTCACACCTTAGATAAGTGTCTATCGATAAGCTAATATCCAAGTTCTCTTATTTACATGTTGAAATAAGGTCCTGGTAAGATAGTGAGGCTGGCCTTGAACTTGTTATTTTCCGGCTTTAATCCCTAGTAGCTAGGATCGTAGAAGAAGACCCCCCAAGCTCCACACAGCATGTGTTTGCTTATTTATATCTGATGAGATTTCTCAATATGTAGATTTTACTCTGCAACTGTGCAGCACTGATCTGTCTGCTTCAGACTCCCAATTTTATGAGTCTGCAGGCATGTGCTACCAAACTCAGCTCAATAATAAAATTAATTTGATTGTGACTTTTAGGATGAAGATTTATGCAACAAACAACCCAAACACACAAACTACTTGAATTTTATGTTATAAAGAGTACTAAAAAAAGATGGGCTGGAGAGATGGTTCAGCAGTTAAGAATGCTTTCTACTCTTGAAGAGGACTGGGGTTCAATTCCCAGCCCCCCATGGTTGCTCACAAATGTCCATAACTCCAGTTCCATGAGATCTTGACTTTCAAGGATACCAGCCAGACGTGGTACACACACATACATTTGGGGGGACACACACACACATACACCATAAAAAAAAAAAAAAAAAAAAAAAGAAAAAGTAAGAAAAGAAAAGGCAAAGAAGGAAATGTTTCGGAAGGAACCGGTGATGAGTAGGCTAAACATTTTGTAGTCTCAGTAGTTGGGTTCAGTTTGTATGCAGCTACTGTCCAGCCAACTTACTAAATCATTAGATTGTAGTTCTTTGGTTAATTTAGTGTTGAAACCTGGAGAGACCCTCGGAGGCCCCTGGATTATCCCACTCTTTCTCAGAAGCTCCTTACCTCCCAACTCTGAACTCTACCAGGACAATTTATCAGAGCCAAGCGCTGCTTTCTGCATCCCCAGTCAACGGTTTCTGCTATTGCCTTGCTGGCTTTGAAACTTTTTCTCTGCTGTAAATCGAGCCCATGGCCTGACACATACCGAAAGTTCACTGTGCCACTGACCTATCAGTCTGTCAAAGTTTTGAGTTACCACTGCTAGCATATTTATGAAAAAAACTCTTTTAAAGTAAACTGGAGTAATTATTGACAGTTATTAAAACTATCAGTTTGAACTACTGTGGAGTCAGTAAAGCTGGTATCTAGTCAGCTCTGCTACCTTCTAAGAAATGTCATTCAAAGGTAAGCCCCTCATCCATATATTATTATTATATATTAATTATTTATTATATACATTATTAATTATAATTAATTATTATAATGGATAATATAATCATTATTATATATTAATGAATTCACAATGAAAGTTGTCTGAATGTTCAAAAGATGCTAGATATAGGCTGTCTCCTCACTTGAATGGTATTGTCCTTTACCCTACGGAAACATTTTAGTTTCATGAGGCTCATTGACCAGTTTTTGTTCTCAATGTGCATGCTATTGATGTCCTGTGAGGAAATGCCTTTCTTGTGGCTGTAGGTTGAAGCGTATTCCCAACTTTCTCCATGATTACATTCAGGATATCAGGTCTTGTGCTGAAGTCCTTGATCTATTTGGAGTTAAATTTTGTGCAGGATGGCAGATGAGGATCAAGTTTCATTCTTTCCACCTGTAGCTCTCTGGGTTGGCCAGCACTATTGGCTGAAGATGTTATCTTTTCTTTTTCCAATGTTTGTTTCTTGTTTCTTTAACAAAATCAAGTGGCAGTAGGAAGGTGGGCTTCGATCAGGGCCTTCGATTCTATTCGATTCTAATCAGTGGTCTTTTTGATGCCAGTACGTGCTGTTTTGATTATTATAGCTTGAAATTACTGTATGATATAACTTGAAATTAGGAAGGGTAATGTCTCCAACAGTGTGTTTATTACTCAGGGCTATTCTGGCTATCCTTG